TCAAAAGAGCTGAGCATGTATTATATGTTGCCTGAGTTCAAAGCTTGGTGCTACCACACACTTAATTTCAATTCTCTGTGCCACAGGTTCTTCATCTATAAAAGGAGGTGTCCTAACTCCCTTTCAGGAAAGTATCATAAAGGCCAGAGATACTGTATTATGCCCAAGGAGAAAGAAAACATGCCGTTAGATTTATATTAAAATTTAAGTCTATCTGAACAGAAACCTTATGTTATGCTACCTCATAAGAGTTAAGAAGACGACTGAGGAGACATGAATGTGAGAGAAAGGATTACAGGGAGGAAAAGTAGAAGAAAGAAGAGGAAAAAGAGGAGACATTAGTCATTTCAATGTACATGGTTTCTGAACACTATCAGAGTTCATTTGAAGGCAAATTCCTTTTCAACTCTGCAGATGAAGACATTAAAGAATTAATATGGGAAGTGTCTTGTGACACACGAGCTTAAAGGAAAACAGTCAAAAGTTAAGTATTCTCAGAATTTCTAAGTAAAATATTAAAGGTACAAGTTCTATGCAGTCTCAATATTCTATAATTTTCTCTACTATTTTCTGCTGATGGCTGGTTACAATTAGCAAGAATGAAGAATTTTTAGTACTTTGTTTATTTGTGTGAACTCCTTAGTAAAGTTTTCTGAGAGTTATGATACAGAGAAAATAAAACACTAGAAGAAAGAGGGCCCTTGAGGTTAGTTTGCTTGGAAAAAAAAGATCAAAGAAAAGAGAATAGGAAGATACTGGAAATATTTATCAGTCCTGTTTTTAGTGGCATGACCATGCTCTTGAATCAGTGACTTATCACCAGATAAGCTTCTGACATTTTCCAAAATAGATGTGAGACAAAGAATGGCCACAAATGGAAATAGTTCATTGATAAATGTTTAAATGTTTTTCTTATTGTCTCCAATGTATCATCTTTGATGATGTATTTTAATCATGCATGGAAATAACTAAATTAGTTAAATAAATATTCTCTGTATGCTTGACAACAATGATGTTACATTTAGTTACCAGAACATGATTACCTGCTAATAAATTATATATAAGTGCAAAGTTAAAGTATGTGCATCCATGTTCAAGATAAGCTAGAATGCATTTCCTGTAAGGTGGAATAGTTTGTGGAAATTTTTCTTCTATAAAGATATCTACATTTATCCAAATAATAATTTAGCATATGAAATGTATTTAAAAATATTACAGCTCTATTGCTTAAAGTCGTCTCTACTAAAAATGAATGCAGTGTAAGATCTACTCATTACTTGAGCAAGTTTCCTTTTATTTGATGTACACTGGTTAACCCTTTTCTTTGAAGCACTATTCTAAATGTAGAAGACTGGAGTGAAAAACAAACAAATAAAAACAAAAATAGCCGTTGTATGGTAATAAGTCTCATGGAGGACTTTTTAAAAAAAGAGATAATAAAGAAACTTGGCATGTTATTCAGTTTTACATAGTCAGGAAAAGATTCCAGGAAAACATGACAGTCGTCATATAGAGGCAGGTACAAGGCTAGTTTTGACAAGCGAACATTATTATCTGACACACTCTAACAGTCTAATGCCAGCTGCTTCTTGGAGGTGCCAAGGACAGAAGCAGGATAAAGTGTTGGGAGTGCTGGCATGAGAGGTCATGGGAATTTGTCAGGCTAGAGACATCTGAAAGTACTGTCAAGAAGATGGATTGCTGAGGGTGTGTGAGATTAGGAGATGAACCTTGCTCCTCCCAGTCTTTGGCCCGAGCAATTTTAAGGATATAGTCAATTTTCACTTATTTACTTGCAGAGTTCTGTGTAAAATTACTGGAGGAAGGCTTAAGTGCTCAGTTTTAGATATGTGAACTTTGAGATACCTAGGAAAGATCCAGGTAAATGACAGATGACAATAGATGAATAGATAGAGACAGGCAGATAGGGACAGGAGTTTTTTGAATTCAGGGGGAAAAGGATAGGCTGCAGTTATATGTTTGTAAGTCACCAATAACTAGATGATATTTACAACTGTGATTCAATATGGTAAAATTCTATAGATGGAAAAAAATCTGAAGTTTGAATTGATAATCTCTAATTAGTAAATAAGATGATGAAGCATCACTGAGGAATAAAGAGAAAAGCTAATGAAATTCTCTGTAGATTAAAAATATACTCTCAAGTACACACATTGCATATATATTCACACACATAGCTATCTATATATACTCATATATATACATATATATAGTCATATATATACATTCATATATATACACATTCATATATATACATATATATACATTCATATATATATACATATATATACATATATATGTACATAGATATATATATGTATACATGGATATGTTATTCTGAATCACAAGTAATTTTTTCCACAGGAAGATCTGATGAACATGAGAAAGGACCTTTGGATTTAGCCAGGGTTGCCCTATGCTTGTTGGACTCCAACAAGTTCCAGCTCAGAGCACTTACAGAGAATGGGATCTGGATAGAAAGAGAAGACAGGATGAAGGCAGAGCAGGAAAAGCTAGGAAAAGAACAAGACAAATAGGGCAAAACCGGAGAAGATAGTGTAGTGTTTTTGTTGATTGTTTGGTGTATTTTGTATGTATGAGTGTGTGTGTCTCATGAAGAGAATATGATCCATGTATTTTCTTTAATTTCAGGAATCATCATAACATTTTTAGTAATATTTTGAGCCTTGCTCTTTTGGACACAAAGGACACATTCTGCATCAGCATATTTAACTAGATACTTATAGTCTACACAAGATATTGGAAAATATTCCACCTAAATGAAGCATTAAAATAAATCATATCAATGGATAATCAATTATCAAATAATAAAATTTAAAGTCTATGTCTGCTATGAAAGAGACTCATCATTTATTCTTTCTTAGCTTTTTATATATACTAACAGCATCTTTTCAAATGGTTATTGAATATTAAAAAATCATATTATTCCAATTATGGCCAAGGTATTATTTTGAGCTTTTCTCATATATTATTGCTGCTCTTTGTTGTAAGATTTAAAAAACAAGGTTTTATTAACATATATACCAAATTAATATATGTTAAAGTGCCAGGGATAAGCAATTAAGTGTCTTTCCTAAGGCTTGATGTATAGGGAGTGACTCTGTAGGGATTAAGTCTAAGTATGCTTATTTCCAAAGTTGATCATAGTTATTTAAGATATACTACTTCCTAACACAATAAGTTCTGAAAGACTGGAATTAAGTTTTAAGCAACATTTTATATATATGTATATATATAAAATGTATATATATATACAGGATTCATCCAAGTGCAAAAAAAAAATGCATTTTACCCAACCTTACTACCTAGTTACTGTTTTAGAAAATTAAGATTTCTTATGTTTATACATCAAACCACTACAAATTTTGAAGCAAAGATGTGTAAATTGATTCATTTTAACTGGGCCATTATACTTAAAACATATACCAAATTATAAAATAACAACAAGACAAAAGAATTCTTGCTATGAAGTCAAATATGAATGCAGCAACTTGAACACCAAGTAGGTTGCTATGCAGGAGGAGGAATCCAGTTAATCCTTTGTTTGGCCTCAGATTGTCAGGTTTTGCTGCTGAGATGCACATACAAGGGCTCAAGTTTAAATGTAAGATTCCCAAGAAAAAATTCTCAGCTCTAAAGAATGATGACTTGCTGAATGCATAATTTTTGCAATTTAGTCAATATTCAGATTTGTAAATTTCCCGTTTTACCTTCAAATACATTCTCCAAAGCAGAAAATTTACATGGGGATGAAAAATCATTAAAAGATGATTGTTTTTTTATTACTCAAAAGTGGAAATCTGTGACGTGTTTTCTTTCCATTCAATCCATTATAATTTTTTCCTGGTCTGATTATGCTCCTCTCCTAAGTTTTGAGATCTGATAGTGAGAGGTTGTAAACATCAGCAATTTCTTGATAAGAATTTTAGTTTTTAGACTTAAATCATCTTTGAATACTTTTTAAAAATCCAAGTGATGTTCTGACATAATAAACAAATAAATCTTGTCATGAATAAAATTCATACATCAAAATTCTATTTTATATTTGGCCCCAGTTAAATTATAGAAAAATTAAATTCTATAATTATATATAAGGAAGTGGTTTTGAATCTCACATACTTATGATACACATGAAATTATAAAATGTCCTACACTTTATTTTCTATCTGAAAATATCTGTACTGTTATAATTAATAAAATTATATATAATCTTGTTGATTTAAAGCACTGAATAATTTCTTTACAGCTTCTCTAGAAGCTCAGATAGAGAATGGCTACATGGAATAAATGATTAAATTTTATTCTGAAGATAACAGCAAAATCTAATATTTCCATATGGTAAAATACATTTTTAAAAAATAAAAATATTAATCTTTCTCATCAGTTAAACTATTAAATTCTTTGCATGCTTAGAGAAAATCTTTGAATTTTCTAACCTAAGATGTATAAATTTTTTCATTCAGTAGTGACATATTTGTTAATATGACTATAGATGGGTAGCATATAATTGAACAAACCAAAAATATGATTAGATTTTATGATATATACTAAATAATACTATTAGTGACTTCTGTGACTTTGCTTGCAGTTTTCTCTAAGTACTGTTAAAATCCTATGGTAATATTCATATTTGTTGATGTTCTTTAAAAACAGATCTAAAGATAATTTTCATATAGACTGAGAGATTTTTCAGTACAAATTTTATTTCTAGATAATACTTAACAAGTTCAGGAAAACCAGAACCTAGCTATTAATTATCATGTAATTAATTTTAACTGAGTATAAAAGATGCCATGAATACTTTCTCCCAAAACCATGAATAAAGTCTCTCTTGTTCACCCTGAAATTAAGATTTAAAATCAATAATTTATTTTAGTGCAGTGCTGTTAGTATTTAATCAAGTGATCAATAATCTTGGAGTCAAGAAAATTTTGAATAAATAAACAAACAAAACTCACCTTATTCATAATACATATCTTTTTTCTGGTTTGAGCATCAAGTATTTCAATCTCAAAGTAAGCAGTTTTTGAATGTTTGAGGGCTGGAACTGATTTTAGAGGACCCGCTGAGAGTACAAATTGCGACAAAGTTTGAAAACTTCTCAGATCATTCCTCATTGTGGACCTTGAAACTCCTCGAAAGTATAATTCTCTTTTGCGTTCTGAGGCAAGGGACTTGTGGCTTTTGAACATTCTGTAAACTAGCTGGAGAATCTGTCATGTAAACAGGAGACTTGTCTGTGTGTGCCCTATGCACCAGTTAAATACTGCTGATGAATGCTGAGAGACCAAGTGGCCTGCCACTACGACCGTCCAGTTTTATTTAGCAGGCTTGAAAACAATGGCTGATCTTATTTCTATATATAGCACACTGTTGAGAATTCTGTAGTGTGGAGTATTATTTTACCAGCACCTGAAGTATTTCTAGCTTTCTCCTGTTATCTCTGTTTCTTAATATTACCACTCTTATCTGAAATTCCAAAACAAGAAAAGAACAGATGTTCTTGATATCTCCAAATTCTGGATTCATGAGTATTCACACATAGGCATACTTATACATGCACTTCATTTTTAGATGTATTTAACTTTACCAGAGTATATATCTCATATTATAAAAATAATAAAAGTGCAAATTAAAAATAAGTGACATGTATCCGTAATAAGTACATATTTAATGAAAGTTTCAAAATAAGAAATTGTTTTCTTCAGTATTAATTGTACATTTAAAATAGTTTAATAAGGTAGCTGCACAGTGTAAAATAATAAAGGCATACAAACATGACAAACTGCAAATATCATACGCAGAGCACAAAGCTACAACTCAGAAAATAGGAATGAAAATAAAATTAAAATAAACATTATATTAACATTTTTACACGTTTATTCCTTTGTAAAATCATTGAATTGATACACAGTATAAAATCAGTAAAAAACATCTTATTTCTCATAACACTAAATTATGGAAAATATAAATAGTCCCTGAATGAAAATTTAAAACAATTAAGAAATTTGAGAAGAGATTGGATATAATCTCAAATATGTATATCTGTAGAGTAAGCAATTGAAAAATATGTTGCTGTAATTTGGAAGAATAGTAATAAAACATATTCTAGAATATTGGTATAAATTCAGTGATAAGAAAAAGCTAAATTTATGGGCACAGACTTTCCATTATTGGTGTGAAGCTAGCCTTCACTTTTATAAATAAATGTACTGTAGTTTTCTTTTTTTACTATATATTAATCACTGGAGACTCATGTTATTTCATTATCATTTCATGCTCTACCCTCAATAGTAAGCATATTAGAAGGCACAAAAGATATGTTTGTTTTGGTGTGTATCGGTTTAAAAACATAACTGTAATTAGTATAGTGGATGAGATCAGACAGGTAATGGTGTTAAATGATGTGAAGTCTTGCAGATCTTTGGGAAGCACTTTGTAGAAAATAAGAAACCTCTGTAATGTGTTGAACAGATTATTAAACTAGCTTCCTGAAAACAAAGCAATATCATCGAATCTACTCCATTTAAAGTGCACTATACACAGGCTAATCTGGAAGTAGGAAGAGCAGTTTTCAGTGGTGATAAAGGTGAGATTGGCACTTAAATGGTAGCTACTTGGATGGTAGATGGGTTGCATCTGGATTTCTGGTGACTGAAATATGAGATGTATGTTAAGGTGACCCCAAGTTTGAAGTCCTGAACACTTGAGTGATAAGGTTATGCGAAACATATCTCTTTATAAATAAAGGGACAAGTTTTTCTTACATAATATTTCTAAGTAATATATACAGATAATCTCAAGAGTAGGTTTCATTTGATCACTGGTTCACAATAAATAATCAATGGTAAATAATTAAAGAGAAAAAATTCCATATGGGAGAGAAATAGCAGACTAACAGTGTCTTACCCATGTGACTAACCCTAGTCATCATGAGTAAATATTTTACTATGCTGTATCCATTATAACAGAGAGATAAAGTTGTCACCTCTTGGTTGTTTTCAAAACTTATGTTCTAGATCAGCCATACTAGCATATGGGGGATAAATTGAGGGTCATACCATGAAGGACCTGAAGAATACTCTTCAGAAGTGCCAAGAATATGAAAGTTAAAGAATAACTGGGAGACTGAGACAAATCAATAAACCCCATATAAGTGTATCACAGAAAAACTTGCTATTCTCGGTTGGTTCCTAGAACAACAACAAAAGAATATTACAGGAAACCTGGTGAAAGAGATACCATCTATGGTTAATTTAACAGCATGTTATCTCTGAAAATTATGAGTTTTGGTACTTGGATCCAGTTAAGGGAAGTTGACTAAAAAGAAAAAACAGGGCTGGGGATTTAGCTCAGTGGTTCTGCAGCTTTCCTCCCAAGTGCAAGGTCTTGAGTTCAATCCCCAGTACAAAAAAAAAAAAAAAAAAAAAAAAAAAAAAGAAAGAAAGAAAGAAAGAAAAAGAATACCACCCACATGCAGTTATTTTACTTTCATTTCAAAAACTTTTGTAAGATAATTCCAAAATTTAAAAATATAAACACTCACCCACCATAAAAACAATAAAAAATAAATGTAGAAAGCGAAAAATGGAAGAAAAAGGCACAATTCAAAGAAATAAAATCATGTATACATTTCTATTATTCACTGAAAAAAATCTGAAATGTCACCTTACTTGCTTATTTCTGTAGATATGCAGTAATTTTAAAAACGAAATGGTATTTTGTAAAGTATTATATAACATAAAATGAATCATAATGAAAACACAATTGATATTCAAATAATTCCGGATAAGACTCATAAATTTGTAAACTATACAGAAATTTAAAACACTATTTAAAAGTGTAAAATATCATAGAAAAAGAGTTAATGAAAAGCTGGAATTTTCTTTCTAATTGCATTAATTATTTGAAATGGTGACTAAATAGAAAAGGTTTGGGCATCCTGCTCTTATTTTCGTAGATAGTTTTTTTAACAAAAACATTTCATTTCAACTTACTGTCTATTTGAGGTTATAATTTTCAGTCCATTTTAAAAGCAGCTTTAATTTACATAGAACCTAAATATGAACATTTTCTTCATATGTCCCTTTACTTCACTCTAATGCACAATTTCTCCTAGTGACAACTTGCTCAGTGTACTACCATAATTTACAACTAAAGAATGGATGTTAAAAGGATATTATTAACAAACATCTATGAATTATCATGCAAACTTTGTTTTCCTCTTCTACACATTTTTACAAACAGATAAAATCATGTTTCCACCATGACAATATCAAAACAGAATAATTGTACTCACCTTCAAATATACTGTGTTCCACCAGTCCATCATTCCTCATCACCTTCACCCTTGAGGATGTTTGGTCATTTTTGTAGCTGTACTTTTGCCAGTACGTCATTAGTTAGCTTCTTTCACTTCGGTATGCATTTAAGTCTCCTCCATGTTTTTTCAAATATTGAGAATTCATTATTTTTTTAAATTGTTTTATAATACCTCTTCACGTGAGGGAACCTCAGTTTACTCGTCCAGTCACATATTAAAGGGTAGTTTGGCTGTTGCTATAACAACCCACACACAAGTCTTTGCGTGGATATAATTTTAAACTTATTTGGGTAAATGCCTAGTAATATGATTCCAGGTTGAACTGTAGACTTTTGTTTAGCTTTGTAAGGAACTGCAAAATATTTTCCAAATTGGCTATACCATTTTGCATTCCCACTAACAATGTACGAAAGGAAGTTCCTGTCATTCCAAATCCTCACCAGCCTTTGGTATTGTCTGTGCTTTGGATTTCAGCCATTGCACTAGAAGTGTCATAACATCTTATCTCATTGTTTTAATAGAAGACTCATTAATGTCATATGACGTGGAGTAATTTTCACATGCTTGCTTCCAGTTTTCTTGTCTTCCTTCGTATGGTGTATATTCAGAGCTTTTGTCTACTTTGCAATCTTTTATTTTCTAGGTTTGAGTTTTAAGAGTCTAGTTTTTGGATATATTTTATGTATCATTCCTGAAATATGTCTTATAAATATATACTTTCAGGTTCATGGCTTGAACCTGAGTTGAATTATAATATTTTAGCAGGTTATTTTGCATATTAATGGTTTATAATATAGACTAAAATATAAAATGTGCAAAAATATAATATAATGTGTGCATTGTGCTTTTGATCTTATATCTAAAAAGTAATTATCAAATATGCAATTATGTGGATTTTCCTATACTCTATTGTAGAAGTTATGTGGTTTTATACTTACATTTATACCTATAATCACTACTATGTTATTTTTGTAAAAGATATGAGATTTTCCAGTCATCCTCATGCCATTTTTTGAAAACACTATCATTTCTACATTTGATTGGCTGCAATTCTTTGTCAAAGATTAGATGATAATGTTTATATAAGTTTATTTCTAAATTCTCAAACTGTATCACACATTGCTTTTATGCACACCACATTGGCTTTATTATTATAGCTTGATAGTATTGGATAGTGTCTATTACTAAGTGATAACAGACATTAGCTCTTCCTTGTAATATTATATGGACTATTATGTTTTTTTTGGCTTATTAATTTAGCTTTCATCAAAGATAGCACATTTGTTATCCTGTCTTTACTTTGGTGCTAAGATCAAGTGTACATATTGCATTTATTTCTACAATTACATTATAGATTTTTTATTTTATTTTTTTTTAACATTATAGCTTTTTAATTCATGGTGTCTCAAGTTTGAGTATCTGTATGTATTTCCATATCTTTCCTAAATAATTATTAGTTCTCTCTGTAGATAATAATTCAGTTTTCTAGACTTAGTTATACTTCACAACTGATCAACAGTCTTGTCAAATAATGGATTTTGTAAACCCAACTATCACCCTTGGGAGGTGAGGCAGGAGGACTAGCATAAATTCTATATCAGCCTGGACTACATAGTGAATTCAAGGTCTGCCAGCACTACAAAGACAGACCCTGTCTCATAAAATTAAAAATTAAAATTAAAAAAATAAATGAAGGATTTTATAATTGTTCATAAGTATTTGTAATATTTAGACAATGACCAATTCACTCACTAGACCATAAAATATATGCTAATTTATATTCAAGCTATAGAAAATACCTGCTTATAATAACTACTCAGCATTATTCATTGAATGAATACACCATCACATGAATATATTTTCCTCTCTAATGAAATATATCCATTGTTGGTATCACAATTATATAGCCA